TACAGTAATCATGAATGATTTCTTTCGTACGTTACGAGCCTTAAGCTATCGGAGAAAGGACTGTTGGAGAGCTTCTTTTCAACAGTCTGGTTGTTTATTATGGCACCCTTTGGGCGACATGCGACGCATTCACTCTCAGGTCATAGTCTTTAGTGAGATTGAAATTGCAAACACAATAAAAAACACTTCTTCCGTAAAAGACAGAAAACAAACTTCACACCTTTTTTCCCCGTGGGCCCATAATTCAAAGGAAGCTTTTCTGAAGAAAAGAGTGTCGTTAAACTTCAGCGCCACCGCAAACAGGCTTTGTCCCTAACTGCTGGAACTGCTGTTTAACCCTACTCGATAAAACAGATGAATCTGAATCCCCGTAATCCGTAGTAGCCCGAACTACGTAAGCTCTGATCTCTCATATCTGTTGAGAGTACGTAGGCACAATACTGATGTATTGGCGAGCCACCTTCCCCGTAACCCGTCGTAGGCCGAACTACGTTGACTCTGATTTCTCATTCTCTGATGAGAATACGTAGGCATAAAGCGCGATGCTTTGCTGAGTCATTTTCTTTTCTGTTTAAGCCAGCCTTGATAGGTAGATAGATAAACCAACTCGTCCAGTAAACACAACAAGCGTGGATCCCGTCGAGTACGACGGACGTGAGGGGTGCTAATATCTTCCCCTTGTGTAACCGACTCCCGAACCCAGACAACGGTTGCGATGACCTTGTCTTATACCTTTTCGTCAGGTTTTTCCGATTGTTTCCTTTCCCGCTCTGAAGGATAAATAACGAAAGGTGGCGACTCTTCTGTTTTGCCGGCACCTTATTTTCGCGGAAGCGACAACTACCGAGTCTCCTGTTGATGTTCTGGGTCTTCTGAGGCCTTGAAAATTCTTGAGTGGACTTCCCTAAGCCATATGAGCTTAATGGACCATAATTACATCATTGGAGCACCTTTTAAATCAAAATTCAAACCACAGTTGACCTTTCCTAATCAGAAACCCTAATTGGGGATCCTGAACTGCACTGTTCCTAATTTTTGTGTGACAACCTCAAATTGGACTCATGTTTGACCCAATGGAGTATCTTTGATGATGTAGATGCTTTTTTCATGGAGATCTAAGGGGGTCAAAATTTGGGGTGCAACAAGCAGCTGCATGAAAGAGTGATTTCCATCCAAAATTTCTCAAGAATTCTCTCTCTTCGAATTTCATTCCTTACTGAGTTTTGCTTCCATCTCTTGCTCATTCCATCATCACTAAAGCATAAGGAGGAGACTAGAAGATTCAGAGTGAAGCTTGCACAAGGTTTAAAGGGCCAACGGAGTTGCTCCGTTAGGTAAATTTCCTTGAACTGAATCTTCCATTCTAGACTTGCATTTAAGCTCATTCTGGTTGCATCTGAAGACCTACCTCGTGTAGGCAATGTTTGGATACTTTTCATGCTTGTTTGAATCAATTTCAGTTTGAATGTTAAAATTTTGTGGCCTAATTTCTCCATGATTAAGGAACCTTTATGAAAAACTAATAGCATTTTTGGAATCTATGTGAAAAATCCTTCAAAATGATGCCTTGGGTTTTCATTTTTATAACGTTTTTCAGCCAACGCCGGTGAGGCTTACCGGGGAAGACAACCGGAGCTAGGAATCCGGCGTCTGAGGTGTGTGCTGAGGTGTAAGGTGAGGTGTGCGTTGACTTGCGTGCATGGAGGGTGGACTCTGAGGTGCCTTGCCATGTGTTTAATGAAAAGCATCGTTTCATTTAGACTGAGCTTTGGTTCTGGTCTGGGCTTTTGTTTTCTTGCTTTTGAAACCCCTATTTTGAGGCCCATCTGCGTGTTTCAAAGGGATTCAGTTCAATCCCAGATTGCTTCTACACCTCCTCTTGCATTTTATTTTCATTTTTATTTTATTTTCTTGCATTTTCATTTTAATTCATTTTAAAATAGATTTAATCATCACAAAAATCCCCAAAAATATGTTTCTGACATTTTGATAATTTGAGATATTTTTCCATATTTTTATTTTATTTTGTCATTTATTTTTAGTATTTTTAATCAATTTAATTTTTGAAGTGGTTTTATGGTTGATGGATTGGTTTTAGGTGTGATCTTTGACCTTAATTGAACACCCCCTTTGACCAATTTTCCTCTCATACTTAGGTGCTTGATTGAGGTATATTTGAGGGATGGTTTGAGGTCTTGTTGATCATTCCTTAGTTGTTTTTTATTGGTTTTTGTTTGTCCCTCGATGAATGCTCGATAAGTGGAACACCTTGTCTTATTGGACACAATTGGTGGTGCTTTGAGTTGATTCTTGCCATGATCTTTTGCACACTGATTTTGGATAGGTTTAACTTGACTTTGGTATTTTATTTGGATTTCGTTTGGACTCATTTCTATTTTTGGTTGTTGTTTCAAAACCTCAGATGTTTTAACTATGTGTATGCATGTAAACCTTGACCTAGTTTTGGGATGTGATCTTGTGTGATCCCATGAGGACCTATTGAGTCTTGTTAGCTCTTGTTAACATGTTTGAGGTGCTGCCTTGCATGATTTGATGTCCATTTGATGTGTGCCTTGCCTCACAAGTCTTGTATGATCATGTGTTTCCACTTATGTTTGAAGTGTGAGACTTTGGTCCTCCAATTTGGGTTTGATCTTTCTTGACTTAGTTTGATGACTTGAGTTTGATTTTGATGCACATCACTTGAGTTTGCTTCTGACCTTGATGGTTATGTACTTGTTCTTGATGCTTTGGTGATGTGTGTTTCACTTTGAGAATTTTATGAACATTTGAACTTCTTTTGAGAAGTATTTGGTTGTTTTCTTTTGATTGATCATGAGTGAGTGTTTGATTTATATGTTCATGATGTGGTTGCTGCCCCACTCTCTTTCTCTCCTCACTTCATTGATTATGGTTCATCATTTATCATCATTCTTCTTAAGATGTTTGTGGCATTTGATTGTGTGCATTTGTTCTCATCTTTCATGACTTGTTTAAGTCTTCCCTTTTGTTTCGTTTGTGATTGATTAAGTATTGTGTTTACTTGTGCTTGCTCACATGATCCCTTAGGATTCCTAGTCCCTCTGTTTAAGATGGGAGTAGGAGAGACATTAGGCTTTCAATCCTTTGCATGATAACATTAGATAGTCCCTTCTCATCCTAACTTTAGGACCACTTTGCATGATAACATTAGAGTTCTCAATACCCTTTAGAGTTCTTGTGTCTTCTCTTCTCATCTCAAACTCTTTTAAGACACTTAATAAAGAATGATGAGTGTTGTATGCTACGAGCCTTAAGTACATGAGAAATGATAAGTGGGGAGGTCTCTCTTCATATTGTCTAGAGTGTTTAGCGTATGCCCTTTGGGCGATATGCAACGCATTCGCTCTTATGTCATAGTCTTTAGTGCAACATGAGTTTCAAGCTAACTCAATCCACTTCTTCTAAAACTCACAAATCAAACTCAAACCTTTTTGTCCTTCGGGATTGTTTTCAAACCTCATTTTCAGAAAGAGTATGTTACGTTTCCGTTCTACCGCAAATAGGCATCGTCCCTAACTGCTGGAATGGAGATTTAACATTACTCATAAAACTCTTAACCAATCAGTGGTCTAGTTTACCCGAACTACGTTTGCTCTGGTTTCCCATACCAGATGAGGATACGTAGGCACAAGACGGTGATGTCTTGGCGAGCAACCTCTCTCCATCACCCGTAGTTTCCCGAACTACGTTGACTATGACTTTTCCATTGCAAGAAGGAATACGTAGGCATAGAACGGCGACGTCCTATCGAGTCTGTTCTTTCTTTTCACCCACGTTTAGCAGTAGCTTTTAGATAGTTTTCACCCATAGATTAGACAACAAGCGTGGATCCCGTTGAGTACAACGGACGTGAGGGGTTCTCATACCTTCCCCTTGCGTAACCGACTCCCGAACCCAAGATTTGGTTGCGATAACCTTGTCTTTCCCGTTCTCTTAGGTTTTCTTCGATCGTTTCCTTTCCCTCTCTTTGGGATGAATAACGTTCGGTGGCGACTCTTCTGTCTATCGCCGGCTTCCTTTTTTCGCAGTTGCAACAACCATCTTTACGTTTTAATGAAACTTATTTTATTCTGCTTAATCCTAAAGAGTTGATCTTTATTTCCTTGCAATTTACATGTTTCTTGCATTCTGCTTTACTTTGTTTAAATGTTTTGAAGGCTCTTTGCTTTATTTTCACAAATTCACGTCCTGTTATTTTAGTCGAACCTTACCTTTACATTAACCTTTTATCAAAAGCACTGTCGTAGTGTTCAGCTTTAGATAGTTTTCTTTCAAGTAGAATTTAACACATGTCACAGGATCAATCTGATTGATTCTGTAAGTCACCAAAGGTAGATTTGGAAGATCGGCGATTATTCTCCAATTTTCAAGAGAAACTCTCATCCCCGTGAACTATAGTTTTTTTTTTCAAAATTAATGTAAAGAAGTTTAATTATTTTAATTGCAATGTAATTTTAACTTAAGATATTATTATTGTTTACCAAATAAAATATACATTTAATTATTAAAATGAAAAGGAAAAAATTGAGGATGGTACAAATGTAATTGGAGGGTGTATTTAGAATAAGAAAGGGCACTAATTGTATTGGTTAGCTCACCTAGAAGAAAAAAAATAATATTTGAAAGAGGTTTATTCTGTGAATTTGGGGGAAAAGTAGGTGTAAATTGAGAATTAGGGAGGAAGGGTGTATGTGGTATGAGGGAAAAAAAATTCACCAACGTAACGTAATATTCCAGTAAACAATTCTATGCATCTTACACGTACTCACAAAGAGTGCCTCGCTGGCATTTGTGACGAAATTGCTATCAAAACAGGACACAGAGACAAACTCAAAAATAGAAAAATCAAAGCCGTGACAATTTCCACTTCAGCAATTGCCTTCTAATTCCATCAACCAAAACCCATACTCCAATTTCTGTTAAGAAACCGTTTCTGCAATTATTAGTAACAGAGTAAGATGAAAGCAGAAACGGTTACACTTGTGCTGGTGAATCTAGCTGGAATAATGGAAAAGGCGGACGAGTCATTACTTCCCGGTGTTTACAAAGAAGTCGGTGCGGATCTTCATACCGACCCAACCGGACTCGGTACGCTCACTCTCTTCCGATCCATTGTTCAATCTGGTTGTTATCCAATTGCCGCGTACCTCGCCACGCGCCATAATCGTGCTCATGTTATCGCTCTCGGGGCTTTTCTTTGGGCTGCCGCTACTTTCCTTGTTGCTTTCTCCTCTTCTTTCTTTCAGGTGAGCACTCTTGAAACAGTTCTGTTTTCTGTAGGTCAAGTTGATGATATTGAAATGTGTAATCGCTTTGTTGGAAGATGATTTAGTTTCTGAAATGGTTGTTGTAGGGTAGTGAACTTAGTCTATGAAATTAGTAAAATTTAGAAGGGTCATTCAATCTGACAGTTTCAGAGAGAGTGAACATTATTTTCTTGTTCTAAATGTGTGAGGGATAGCATTATAATCTCTTGGGCTATGTTTGGATAATAATTTTTTAGGCTATATTTGGATATGGTAAAACTAATGGAGCGGAGCAGAGCATGGAATAAGGATGTCATTCCATGTTTGAGTATTTCATGATAGAATAGATCAATTTTGTCATTATGCCCTTCAATAGGGTACAAATAATATGGAAAGTGATGGAACCAGATGAAGCACTCCTTCCGGTTCCACTCATTTCCATCATTTTTTTAATTAATCCAAACAATAGAATATAAGTTTATACCATTTCATTACGTCTCATTCCATTTAATCAATCCAAATATAGCCTTGCACTTTGTTTGGATTGATGGAATCGGATGGAGCAAAGCGGTATGGGATGGAATGAAATGATATTCCGTTGTTTGGATCATTTAAAATCGGATGGAACAGAGCGGAATGGAGTGGTATGGATTATATTTCATTTCATCACTTACCTTCATATTTCTTCCCTCTTATTTGGGCGGAATTAAGAACTTGCATCGTTCCATCCTAAAATTTCCAAAATGGAATCTTCATTCTGCTCTGCTCCATTCTATTCCACTGCGCTCCATTCCACTATGTTCATTTTATGACATTCAAACATGGTTTAAAGTAGAGAAATTATTTATAAAAATAACATTCATTCTAAGCGTGTATTTTGTTAGTAATTTTATGCATCAAACCAAGTAACGCATGATGCAATTGAGGACGAAACCAACTATGCAAAGACATAGTATTTGAAAATTAGAATGACTAATGGTAAGATGCATTTGGATATTTTTTTATAATTCTGATAGGTTCAGGGACTAGTGTTACCGTGCTTCATACATTCAAGTACCAAAATAGATGTGACTTTTCTCAATAGTATGGTTGTAAATTTTCAAATTTAGGAACTATTTTGAAATATTAACAATTTTAGGGATTATACCGACAACATCTTTCAATTTCATGGACTAAATTAGTAATGCTCTTGTTATACAACTTATGATTTCAGTTTGAATTTGGAAGTAATTTGCATTTTAATTATGCTTTTGTAATTTTGATAGATTCAGAGACTATTTGTCAAGCGATTTGCACATTCAAGTACTGAAATGGTTGTTTATTCACCTCCATAGTATGATGGTTGAATATTTCAAATTTAGGAACTATTGTGAAATGTAAATAATTTTAGGGATTAAATTGACAATTTCTTACAATTTCAGCAACTAAATTGGTGATTCTCTCATGATACAACTGATTGAGTTCAGTATGAATTTTGAAGTCAATTGTATTTTAGGTAGCGGTGTCGCGGGGATTAAATGGGATTGGTCTCGCACTTGTAACTCCTGCAATTCAGTCCCTTGTCGCAGACTCTACTGATGATAACAATCGTGGTATGGCTTTTGGATGGCTTCAACTAACCGGTAACATTGGTTCGGTTGTTGGTGGCCTCTTCTCACTTTTGATAGCTCCAATGACAATTTTTGGTATCCCTGGTTGGAGAGTTTCATTTCATGTTGTTGGGTTAATAAGTATTATAGTTGGTACCTTGGTATACATCTTTGCCAAAGATCCGCATTTCGAAGATAAAGGCACACTTACAAATAATAGCAATTCAGTTCAAAAGGAAACATTTTGGTCTGGTGTAAGAGCCTTGATTCAGGAAGCCAAATCTGTTTCTAGGATTTCATCTTTCCAGATCATTGTAGCACAAGGTGTCACTGGCTCGTTTCCTTGGTCAGCTTTATCGTTTGCGCCAATGTGGTTAGAATTGACTGGTTTCTCCCATGGGAAAACTGCTTTCCTTATAGCTCTGTTTGTGGTTGCAAGTTCTCTTGGGGGTTTGTTTGGAGGAAAGATGGGGGATGTCCTTTCCCGGCATCTTCCAAATTCGGGGAGGATAATTCTAGCGCAGATAAGCTCTGGATCCGCAATTCCACTAGCTGCGATTCTTTTGTTGGGTTTACCAGACGATCCATCTACAACATTGTCACATGGTTTGCTGCTAATCATTATGGGATTCTCTATATCTTGGAATGGTTCTGCTACAAATAAGTATGTATTTGAAACTAATCAGTTTTTGTTCTGTTTGCTTGATCATTTTCCAAATTCATTATCCTCATTTGGTTTAGTAGTTGCCATTAACATTTTTGTAATAAAGCTTCTTCAAGTTTATATCTTTGTGCATAAATTAATTTGTTATCTGTGTGGACATTAGTCCAATTTTTGCAGAGATAGTTCCAGAGAGATCCCGAACAAGTGTATACGCATTGGACCGGTCTTTCGAGTCTATACTATCATCTTTTGCTCCCCCTGCAGTGGGGATTTTGGCACAACATGTTTACGGGTATCAGCCCATTCCTGAAGGCTCTAGCGAATCTCAAGAGATTTTAACAGACAGAGAGAATGCTGCATCATTGGCAAAATCTCTTTACACAGCAATAGGAATTCCAATGGCTCTGTGCTGTTTAATCTACACATTTCTTTATAAGACCTATCCGAGAGATCGGGAACGAGCTAGGATGGGTGCTTTAATAGAATCAGAGATGAAAGATATTGAATTGGATGGCTTACTCGTGGATAAGTCCGAGGAAATGTATATTGGAGATTATGATGGTGATGGTGTTGATCTTGATGATGAAGAGCATGTATTTCTCTAATTTAGATTCTCAAACTTAGGTGAAATGTCAGCTCAAAAGTTTTAGAGAAGAGATAAGTTTCTTTCGGGTTTTCTTAGTGGTTAGAATTTTCCACCAAACATGGATATTAATAGAATCAGCCTGTATACACCTTCATAGTTTTATCTTTCACAGAAGAGGGAAGAGATTGTTTTGTTATATGCAATTCAATTGTGCACACTGTTATACATAGGATGACAATGAATGTAAATTTATATGGTTTGGCTAATGTGATTGACATTCTGATTTGTTAATTCTCATGTATAGTTTAAATGTCATTTAAGAATGCTCCTGATAGAGTTTTTGATTCTTTCTCATGCGCTCCACATCCATTGGTGATCTTCAATAACAACCTGCTCGCAATTCCTCTCTGATATGGGAAAAAAGCTTGACGACTGCCATGACTTCTAGTAACCTTGATCCCTGAACATTCCCTTAGTATATTTCTGGGTTACATAATAAAAAGATGCTTCATATTCTGCTCAATAGTGGAAATACTCATAATTTCATGGACCATGATATCGCAAAGAAGTTGGGATGCAAGCTGAAGGAAAATTCTTCTTTGGTAGTCACAGGAGGAGGGGCTCATAAATTAGAAGCAACCTTCATTTTCCACTGGTCTTCAATGGCATTTACAACAACACATGTTTACTGCTAATGTGATTGTTCTTCCCTTGGTTTGTTTACTTGAAAGGTATGTTGAAGGAAATTTACACTTATGTCAGAAAATGTGTTGTGTGTCACATGAATAAACCTGATCAGGCTGCTTCCCCATGCTTTTTGCAACCAATACCTATTCCTGACAAGATTTTGTGATCGTGTACCCACCTATAAACCTAGAAATAATATTCTTAATAGATAGAATTCTTAAAAAATTAGTTCCAAAAGTAAACATTTAAACTATGAAACAAGTAAATTTATTTGGTAAACTGAAATCAAATTGAATAAATTTATCTTTGTTAAAGTACTCTAAAATTACTTAAAGATACTAATTCTACAATAGAAGTTTTAAAAGAAAATACAACAGAACTTGTTTTATAATTAGCACTGGAATAACTTGTTTATTGCTGAAATCATATAAGTAATGTTTGTTCATTAACAATTTATCTATGGTAATATATTAAATCTGAATCACATACTATTATTTTGATGATAACTTATCATCTTACATATTACATGTATTAAAATCTGATAAGATACTCTTAAAAAATTTATAAATACAAAACTTTTAATGAACATAATTGCAGAAAGATGATTTCACTAAAGAGAAAAGTTATAGATTTTCTGTGAGATGGTATTTAAAAAGATTCTATGAATTTTTATGAAGAAGTTTTCATGACTTCCGTTTACTTCACTTATAAAAATGTTAAAATTTGTGTCATTAATCCAATTTAGTTGATAGTTTTTGTTTTAATAGATGAAATTCTGATTATTAAACTATTAAATTTAAATCATACTTATCAAAAATGAGAAGAGCTCAATAAATATGGTTTAAATATTGTTTTGTAAAATCTTTTCATGTAAAATAGTTTTCATTGGAGTTAGATAGAAATTGTTTCAAAATCAAATAACTTGATAATTTAACCACGTAGAAATTAAAAGATAGTGGTGAAAGGATAAAACTCATTTGAATGTGGTTTGATTTTGATTTTTGTTTTTTAGTCTTCATTATCTTTTTAATTCTCTTCATATGGCGGGTTCTTAGATTCTTAGGTCGAATAGTTCGGCAAAAGGTTTTTTTCTTTAACTTTTCTACTTATCTTAATCTTGCAGCAGTAAGTAGAGGATTTATTTATTTATTTATTTATTTTTAATGAATGGATGTTCAAGGAGATGATCCTTTTTTTATGTGTTTCGGGCCGGTGTCTAAAAAAATTCTAAAGGTCCAATTTAAACTATTCTATAAATATTTATCTTGACGTTAAAATAGATATGATTTTTTCATTCAAGATTTCACTTTTTTTTTTTTTACAAATTGACTTGAGTATTGAAGTGTTAATACTACATGTCCATCTAGTTCAACAGAGCAAGGCGCAACGCCTCATTTTGGAGATGCTTCGATAATTCTAGTTCTAAAATAAAACAGTGACGTTGTTTGTGGAAATTTACATTTGATTTCTACGAAATTTCACAATCAGATATTTTTATTCTTGATCTCCACTAATTCGACAGTCACAATTAAGTGGAAATGATCTCGAAGTTTCCTGAATTGAGTCTCATTGTGATTCTCCATGTAACACCCTAATTTAGAATTTTGTTATTTATTTATATAATTTATGAATCATTAAGAGAAAATAAAATAAAATAGAAATATCAGAGGAAGGAATGACGATTTAGGGATTAGAGAGGACTTGAGGGTAAGCTAGTAAGTACGAGAGTAAGTTGAGGGATAAATGAGGGAAAACATGATAAAGAGGAATACTATTATTAGAAAAAGGAAAAATTGGAATAAGAAAAGTCAGTTGCATCATACGTGAAAAATTGAGAGAAAAGAGAAAGAGTGTTAGGGCAAGAAAATGCAATATGCAAGGTGATCAAGGGAGAAGAATGAAGGTTCCAATTCAGAATTTTTTGTAAGAAATCTAAAGTATGGGTATGTAATGATTCTCAATTATGATTGATATGAGGGAAGGGTAGATATAGGGTTTTAGTTATATTTGATTGATAATGAATTTTTGTGAATATTAATAAATTAGTAAAATCTTTAATGAACTGGTGAAATATTGATGTTGATGTTGGGTCATATGATGTATTGTGAAATCTTTGATGATGTTGCTATTGTAAGTTGAATTGTTGTTGATGTATTCCATGAATAATATCGGATTTGATAGGAGATTGATGGTTAGGGATGGTGAGTTTGATGTTATAATTGTAATGTAATGTGAACTCATGATCCCACATGATGATAGATGGAATTAGGATGTTAAAACAATAGAAAATTGGATTATTGTGTTATATTTTCATAGATAAGTTTCTGCTATGTAAAGTGGTGTTTGGATGCTGAAAAACTGCGGTTTTCGGCAAAATACACTGTGACAATTAATTGTCACAGGGCGACAATCGGATGCGTCGGTGTAAAATTGGAGACAGTGGCGAAATCAAGGGTGGTGCAATCGATTGTCTCTCTGGTGCAACCGATTGCCGCTGTAATATTTTTGAAAAATAAATTTGTTTTTGAATTATGATATGTCTTAACGATTTACCTCATAACTTTTGATCCGTATATTCAAATGACGTATCATTTGAAGCGTTGGAATGCTAAAGCTTGTAACACCCCAAATTTAATTGAAATATTTTAATTTATTTATTTAGTTGAGAATATTCGTATTTTAGTGATTTTGTGGATTATTGGGAATTATGAATTTTTAGATTATTTATTTAATTAATAGTATACAATATGAAAATATTAGTATTATTATTAGTTAAAACAAATATAAGTGAAATAAGGGTAATTTGGGCATTAAGAAGAGTTAGTAAGGGTATTAAAGGAAAAGCCCAAATCTATGAGGCCCAAGTCTAGGTTTAACAAAAAGGAAAATATGATGGAATTAGGATTCATTTGTTAGACCGTAAAAAGAATGGAGGCCAGAGCTCTGAAAAGGGAGATTGGAGGCAAAAGCTTCAGAGGATTCCCGGAGACATTTGACAGGGCTTTGATCGACAATTAATGTATGGGGAGTATATCTTTTCATGATTTTCCATGTTTAACTTTCGATGTGATTATGATTTATTTAAGGGTTTTATGGAGAATTATGAGAAAAAGGGATTTTTGGCCTTCGTGGCCTAAATCTATTATGGAGATTGTAACCGTAGGGATTTTAAGGGTAGATATGAGAAATAGTGATCTTTGGCCTTCGTGGCCTAAACCTGTGATTGCAAATCTAACCGTGAATTAATTGGGGAAAATGGAAACCTAGGCCTTTGTGGCCAAAAAGTTGATTGAACTTTGCTTAATCCTGTAGGAATATTGGATAGTGATAACTATATTGCCTTAGGGTGTAATTGAAGGAATAATTGTGATTTAGGGATGAATATGTTTCGGGATTGGCCTAATAAACCGTAGGTTTTATGCCTTTATCGCCGTAGGACCTTAGGGATGATTTAGGGATGCTTTGGAGGCATTGGGTAAGTGAATCGTAGAGCCTTTTGGGTAGAAATCAGTTATGGTGCGTAGCAGAATTTGCTGTCATCGCGCAGTTCGCCTAACAAACAATGTTGTTCCCAGAATCGCCTAGTGAAGAATCCTTTGCCTAGCGAAGAAACTCGCCCCAGACTCGCCTAGCGAACATGCCAGCGAACGTAGCAGAGTTTCGCGAATGTTGATCGTGTGCAGCGATGCCTTGATGTTTGATTCTGTGATTTCTATGATGAATTAACATGAGTAGGACTGTTAAGTTTATGTGATTAATAGGAGATAGTATGAGAATTACCGTGAGTATAATTATGAATTAAAATGTGATAATATGTGATAACATGATGAATTAATATGAGTATGACTGTGAGTGCTATGTGATTTGTACATGATTATATAATGATTTTCTATGATGTGTGATGATAATTATTATGACGAATTATGATGACATGATGTATGATGATGAGCTATGATGACATGATGTATGAAGATGATTGTTATGATGAGTTATGATGACATGACGTACGATGATGATTATGATGATGAGCTATGACGTTTGATGATGATAAATATGATGAATGATGATGCACCTATGATATTATTATGAGGATGATTGTGACGTGTGCATCATGCATTCATGTGCATCCGGACTTCGGTTCAGGACCTCAATTACTTTGGCTTCAATCCCATTGTGCGGATGTGAAGTGTTTTGATGTGCTCCGATTCTCAAGTAGAATCGATCCTATTGATGGGGATCTATGGAGGGTTGATGGCCCAGTGTCCATCGTGTTGTGATGATTGGTACCACATGCATTGAGTCTATGTTGCATTTGCATTTATGAGTCTTTTT